GAGCACCCGGAGAAAGATCTCCATCCATCATCGCGACGAGCCCAAGATGTCCTAATGACACCATGAGGAGGGACCCAGTCCCGCTCCACCAGCTCCTGGGGAGCTGAGGCCCCCTCAGCATCGTCACTAGACCCCCTTTTACCCTTCATTTGTATTTTGGATGATTTTGCATTTTTCACCAATAAAGGAGAGACACTTTATAGACATGTTTTAACATCTGCCTGCACAGCTGGTCGGTGCAGGTACCAGGGAGCAGCCTCGTGGCATGATGCTGAGAGGAGTGGGCAAGGGTCTTTTGCGAAAGATGCTGTCAGGGAGGAAATTCGGCTGGGGAAGCAAAAGGATGGCAGCTTCCTCCTGGAAGGTGGCTGCTTCACCCCCTGTGGAGGAAAATGAAGGCTGGGATGTGCAGGTAGGAGCCCCATAGAGCTGCAAAGGTGCAGCAGTGGTGGCCTCCACCACGTCAGGAGGCCAGGGGCCACCACAGCACAGCCACTGCCTATGGAACAGGGCTGCTGCTCAAAAGGGAGTGTGGTGCAAGGGCTGTGTTTGGGTGCTGCTACATCCAGCCCTGCCGCTGCCATGCCAGGTAGGTTTGGATTTGGGATTGGGTCTGCATCTGGGTTTGTGAGGGAGCCTGGGTCCCGGCCTTGGTGTAGGTTTGGGTTTTGGTCTTGGTTTAAAATTACGTCTGAGTCTGGGTCTGGAACTGCGTCTAGGTCTAGGTTAGGGTCTGAGACTAGGACTGGGTCTAGTTCTGGGTATAAGAGTAGGTTTGGGTCTGGGTTTGGATTTGGGTCTGGGTGTGTTGTCCCTAAAATGAGGATTCTCCACCTGATGTGCAATAGGCAAGTCAACACGCAGAGTTTTATTTCAATTCTGCAGATTCAGGTGCTTGGCCTCTAACCCAGACAGAACACCCTTGTTTCAGCTTGTCTGATATTTATAGCAGCAAGGTGTAACTGATGGGCGAGTAGCAGTTTACCACCTATGATGACTTATTTTCATGTTTATACATTTAGCTTCCTGTTTAAAACAATTAGGGAGGTCCTCTAATTAGCTTGCTCATTAGCCACGAAGGGGTGTGCATTTTGGTATTAGAATCACGTAGGGTTAGTCAAGGATTCGCTCCTATCTGAACTTTTGTTCCAATTCCTGCAACATGTACCCATCTAATCAGTAACCACAGGACTGCAAAGCAAAAGGCAGCCTGACTTATCCTGGGGCTGCCCATGATGTTCTTCACGGCTACACACGGTCCCTGGTTTCAACACAGACCTGCGTGACTGCTTTGACATCAGGTGCGGGTTTGGACTTGGGTCTGGGCGTGCGCCTGGGTCTGGGTCTGGGTCTGGGTTTGGACCTAGATCCACGTGCGCGCCTGTCTGGAGTGGGACCCACCCTGGTGGCGTAGCCCCTTTAAGAAAGAGTCGCGGCTCGGTGGCCGGGCGCATGCGTACAGGGGGCGATGAGCGGGCGCCGGCGCAGCGCGGGGTCGCAGGTGAGGTCGGCAAGATGGCGGCGTGAGGGGCGCGATGTGGGGAGCGCTGAGGGGAGCGCTGAG